CATGACGATGCGGGTGCGGCCGTTCGGGTTGGGCGAGGTGTTGCCGCCCTCGAGCGTGAAGACCTCGGTGCGGCTGTTGTAGACGATGACGGCGCCCGTCACCTCTTCGGCGACGGCCGCGCCGCGCGTGCGGCGCACGCTGGCATTGCCGATGAAGCGCACCGTCTCCGTGCGCGTGTCGTATTCAAGCTGGTCGGCATGGCCTTCGACGGCCTCGCCCGGCGTGTCGCGGCCCTGGCGGAAGCTGACCGCCTTGCCGGCGGCGCCGTTGGCGAAGGCCTGGACATAGCCGTCGGTCGTCTCGCGCACGGCCACCTTCTCGGCACGCAGGTTCATGCTGCCCTGCGTGATGATGACGTTGCCGACCAGTTCGCGGACCTGGTTGACGCCGTCGACCGATCCGCCCTTGTCCGACGACAGGGTCATCGGCTTGAGCCGGTCAGCCTTCTCCGCCTGGGCAGAGACGGCGGCGAGCGCGAGGAGGAGGGGGGCGAGACGCAAGGGCATGGCGGCACGGAAGTTGCAGGCCATTCTATGGGCGCAGCGCCGTGCTCAGCCTTTCCCTCGCGACAAGCGGATCAGGACATCCGTCACGGCCAGGGCCTGTTGGCCCTGCGCCGCTTCGTTCTGGCCTTCGCCGCCGGCCATGCCGGGGCCGGTGCGGAAGCGCCCGCCGACGACGACGGCTGGCACGCTGTCCGCGCCGCAGAGCTCGGCCAGCTTCTGGCCCTGGGCCAGCTTGCCCTGCACGCCGAAGGACGAGAAGGCCTGCTTGAACCTGGCCGTGTCCACGCCGAGCTTGCCGACGAGGGCGACGACCGCCGCCTCGTAGTTCGCGTCCACGCCCTGGCGGTGGAAGGCATTGAAGATGCCCGTGTGCACGGCCGGCGTCAGCGCGCCCATGGCCTCCAGCGCGTAGTACATGCGGGCGTGCAGCTTGAGCATGGCCTGCTGGCCCACCGGCACGCGGCGGAACGACACGTCAGCCGGCAGCTTGTGCACCCAGGCTTCCACCAGCGGGTCGAACGCGAAGCAATGCGGGCACTTGTAGAAGAAGAACT